AGGGGGAGATTTCTGTAGGAAAATGGAGGACATGCGGAGATTGACAAAAACAAACATGTGTACACATAATGCAAAGAGGCGCGACGAGAAGGCATTCCTCCTACACGCTCAGAGCCGCATTTCATGCTCCCTGCCAACGACAGACGAGATCCCCCTGAAGTCTCGCTACGCTACGGTTGCTGCAGCCCACCGCCTTTCATCTGGCAGCGCCGAATCGGCTTCTGCAATTACATTACACACATACAGACACACACGAGGAGAGAAGAGGCTGAGACGGAGTCAGTAAGACGGAGGAAAAAACAGATGGAGAACAAAGGGAAGTGGACGGAAGATGATGGGAAGGGAAACAAATGAAGGGCAGAAAAAAGGGAAAGAAAGCTATTATTCACAGTAGATGAGGTGGTGATTTTCAATCTTTTTTGGTTTTGATGAGCAAAGTGCGATGACAGACAAATGGACCTTGGTGGGGAAAAGAAAAAGGGAGAGGAATGTGAGGGATGATTTCTAGCAGCTCAGATGGCCGTCAGAGCACACTCTGTTCCTGTGTGTCCTTCTCTGTTCTGTTAGTCTGAATTACATATTTATAACCATTTTTAATTTTCTTTTAAAGGACACGTTTAGTCATCTGCTGCTTTTAAGTGCTCCACGCTAAATCATGCTAACATGACAACAGAGACCTCTACTAGGGTCGATGGTGGGCAGAGTGAGAAACACACAAAAACTTGGAACAGTTTGGGAGTTTCTATGTGGTCAAAATCCTACCTTCTGGTTCAGATTCCTACAGAAATATGACTAGATATCAAATATAACTCCTAATTTAATGCCTCGAAATTGGGTCTCTGTCGCTTTAAAAAAACTCCAGCTCTTCCTGAAACGCCACCTTCAGGAAGTCATCACAACATGGCTTCTTACGTTGCACTGAAAAGTAGCTCCTATAATGTGCAGCTCCAAATGGTGTTTGCTAATTGCTTCCAGCTAGTCTGAAGGAGCCAAGGCGTTTTTACATACTTTAACGGTTGCCACAGGAGACTACAGGATTTCTCAAACATGACTGAAAGAATCAAAGCTACACTCCAGGTGTGTTTGTGATGAGGAGATAAGGCTACAACATGCTCTGAAGCTAACAAAAAGAAAAAAAAGTGGGATTTTTTGTATAAGATCAGAGAAATTTGAAGAACAGATTGTGAAGGAAGAAGTTTCCAGCTCGCCACATCTTTTTGTCGTAAATATAAATCAGCTTTGAAGTTTGCTTCATTAATAATTAAGCAAAGGTTCATTTTTTGAGTGCAATTAAAAAAAACCTTCAGTAGACGCAGCAAGTGCGTTTGCCTCCTTTTGCATCACCACTTGTTCCCATCTGACGTCTTTGCATCGACGCGTTATGTAATCACTCCCAGCTCCAAAACATTTACAGATAGGCTCAACAAGAAAGCTGCTAAGATGTTAAGTTTCATCCTCCAGATGATAAGCCAGAGAGGCATTGTCTTACAGTGAGAAAATGTCACAATTTCTACCTCCACTATATCAGAAAAATAGAATGTTGGCCTCAAAATGGCCGCCCGCTTTCTTCTTTCTTCCTGGCCCGCTTTCGTTCAGTCAACCTGCACATCCGGGTCGTGAGAACTTGGTAATCCTTTCCTGTCAGCCGCCAGCCGGCGCTCTGGGAGTATCTGAAGGAACTAGACGCCCCCGGAGGTTAGGGCTTACTTCTGCTGAACTTTTATTTTAATGAATCTGGAGCTGGTTTATGTAGAGAGCAGAGGATGGCAGAGATCTTAGCCTGACATGTTGGGTTTTGGAGCTTTGGAATTAGCTTGAACTGATCTGTGTGACTATTTGGTGAGTTTGTGTGGGTGGTGGAACTTGTGTCTTAGCCAGGCTGGACATGAGTCATACTCATCTGTTCTCGGAGCAAAAAAAAAAAAACCCACATAATTCTGATGCAATAAGGGGCGACCATTCCATTTCCTTAAGCACTTAGCCGTAATGATCCTATTTGGGCATACTGGATGGTCATGTAAAAGGACTGAGGAAGGAAATGGGTCTTATGAATGTCACAATGTGTAAAACAGAATCGTGGAATTGAATTTTTTGTTTTTCATGTGATAAGCATTTGGTGTTTAACTCAATCATTTTAAAAAGAGAAATTTTCTTCTAACATTTTAGTAAAACCAATGATCCGTTGAACCACAGCACTATGTTTCATTTGTGATAACAGGAAATGTGGACCAGTTATCTATTGATTTTCTTTTTTTTATTCACACCACAATTACTTACCGTTTTGGGTTAATAAATATAGTTAAAATGGAATTCAGAAAAACGAAAACTGGAATTTTGGGGAAAAATATAATAAAATGGAATTTCATAGAACCCTAGGTGATGGATGGATAAACAGATGAATTATTGAATGAATTTTGAGGTAAATGGATGGAAAGAAAATCCAAGAGCAGCATTCTCCACTAATTAACCTCAATGCAAATTTCCTGACTAATTGGGTTTTTTTGCTGTTGATGCCCTAATTGGCTGCAGCGCAGACCCTTTGACTGCCTCTTTCTTCTGCTTCACACACAAACATTACAGGGACACACACTTCTATCAGGCACTCACTAATTGCCTTCTGCAGCTGGAGAAGCCGATGAAAAATATGCAATTCTGTTCCCGTCGCTCTCTGAAAAAGACACTGAAGTGGATAAACTGGACCAATCGATATGTATTGACCCTCTGTAAAAACCGAGTGATTGATGCTGTGATGAGTTTTTATAGCAGTAAGAAGGTCACTGAAGAAGAGTCAGCCCTTCCTGTCATAACGGCAGGCTTTCCTCCTGTGTCCACCTTTGTTTTTGTATTTGCTTTCATTTTTTGTGTTTTCTGTTCCTGTCGGATCTCGCCTTAAATGTTACGTTTTATGTGTTGGGTGCACTGATGGGGAGAAATCATCTGAATGATTTATAATGCTCTGTTTTTAAATTTTATTTCTCTTTGCACCATTGTGCTAAAAGAACACAGCACAGGCTGATAACAGTAAGGCTTAACTGGGTTTAAACTTCTGTTTTAGAGCGTGCTTAGGTAGGAATTGGCAACATCTGGAAATCCGAAAGTAAAACTAAGGATCTCCTCTCTCAAGAAGATGAATAAGACTGCTGTTATCACTGATTCCTATGCTAACTGTGTCAATTTGTAACTTAAGAAGCCAAATACAAATGTCAATTCAATAATTATTGACCCATAGTAAAAACTAAATAAGATGTTGTAGTTGCTATGCTAACTGTGCTAATTTGTGATTTAGGATGCTAAATAATCAAAGACATCAATTCAATACTTATTGTCAATAAGTAAATACTGGTCTTGTGATGAGATGTTATAACAGATATGCTAACTGTGCTAATTTGTAACTGAATATGCTAAAAACAGTCAAAGATGTCAATTCAGTAATTATTGACCCGTAATAAAAACTAAGTGATGTTACAGCTGCTGTGCTAACTGCGCTAATTTGTACGTTAAGATCCTAAATACAGTCACAGATGTCAATTCCATTATCATTTCCTTCTTTTAAAGTAGAAAAAAAACATTTTTGCAAAAACAGTTTTACAGTGACTTTTGTCCTTCATCAGGTGTGATGTTGCCTCTGCTCTTTATATAAATAATTAATAAAAGATAATATTCTTTTGATATGGTTTTAATGTTTTCATACAATACAGCGCTTAAGAAAAACTGAATTGGCAGAAATTGGTCAAAGACGGGTCTGAGTTTGGAAATTGGCAACAAAGTGGTTGGTGCGTCAAATAATTGAGGGTTTTCAGAAAATATGGAATCAGCCATAGGAACTGAGATCATGATTTGTGTCGTTACTTTGCAGATATTTCAGCGTTAAGGATTTTTAGAAGCAGTTGCAGTTGGAGTGCATGTTTTCATTCTTTATTCATGGCCGTGCTCTTAGGCAACATGGGGAGGAAGCTCTTTCATAGCTTCACCCTGTTTTGTATTTGCTTTTATTTTTATTTCTTTTCTGTCTTTGGACAGATGATTTTCCAAAAGTACAAAACAATCTTTGTGTCGTCTTCTGTCCTTTTGGATTTTTTTTTTTCCTGTCTCTGACTTTCCCATCCTTTTAGCCTTTAGCTTAGCATACACCCCTCCCATTTTGCAATGCTGATTCCTTGATAGCTTTGCTATCATCGCATACATATCAATGCTGAATTGTGATATGGCCTTATTATTATTTTCTAATGTTTTACTGTTATTTATCCAAGTTATTCTTCATTATTCCCCTTTCTTCTGTTAGTTGATTTGAGTATTTTGCTAAAAATTCATTACCCGTTTTGGCTAGTTACATTTTTGCTAGTTTAGCTTCAGAGTTTATTGGCTTAATATTTTGACCTTTTAAGGTTAAACTTGTGTGTTAATGAATTATCATACTTATTATTAGTGCTCATTCTGGTGTATTTATGAAATACCTGGTGTTCAGACATATGTGGAATATGTGGAAGAACTTGAATTCACTACTTCATAAGTTAGCATGAGAAAATCACTGCATTTTCAGAAGAGTACCTAACAGAGACTAAATGTTTAGCTAATGATTCCTGAAAATCAAGTGGGGCTTCAATTTGTTAAACTAAATTATCAATTATTTTAGTTACATGAGACAAACATTGTTTCACAACACTTTTGAAGTCATTTAAATGCAAACTGTACACTTTAATTAAGGGGTAACTGTTGCTTAGAAAATAAAGTAAGGCATATCATTGGTTTGAAAATAGTCTAGATCAATAATCATGCTTAAATAATAACTGATTCATTTTGACTTTTGCTTTTGTCTTTCTCAGTGCTTTTTTTTAATTGTTGCTTGCTTTTGAAAGCCAATCTTTTGCCTCATCTATCATCTTTAGGACTTTTTACCATGAGTGTTCCATCAATGAATCCCATCAATAAAAAGTTGCCTCGGCGTCCCTGTTCCTTGTCGTCCTGACAGCTCGTGTGTGTGTCTGTGTGTGTGTCCACAGCTGTGCCAGCGGCACCTGTGAACGTCTCGGTGACCCAGCTGAGGGCGCACTCAGCCATGGTGACCTGGAACATCCCTCAGGGTGACACGGTCATCGGCTACTCCATCTCTCAGCAGGTACGTTCGGCCGTCTGTCTCCTCATCCGTTCACTTCGCATGACGAGAAAACCTGGAGTCCTGCCACACTGGGGGGAGGGGGGCGCCATAACGCAGCCTCTCCATAAATGAATTATAGATTTCTTTGTGGTCGCCTCTGTCCCATGACGGGCGGATAATTCTCCACTTTGTCTGCAGGACCTTTAAAACGCTGCGTCATTTTATTAGCCCTGCAGGCAACCAGCAATCTGCTCAGAAACACTTTGAGGGGCTTCGCCCATAAACATTTAAATCGTCTAAAGGTTTATTGAAGTCAGTGCTGGCTGTGGAGCCACGCTGCTTACTGTAAGAAATAATAAAATACAAATTTCTTGATTAAAACCTGCACAAGCATCCAGTTATGGAGAAAAACTTAAATGTAACTGTAGATAGGGGTTAAAAAAACAAATTATTTGCACCAAAAAAATCTGAGAAAAAGTTCAACTTTTAATACTCTTTAAACAATCTTTTTAAAGCAGACTTGTAAACTTTATCCCACTTTAATAACTTTGGATGAGTTATTAAACACAATCCTACCTGTTGCATTTTAAAACATTTTTTTCCACTGGAAACTGGAGATAGCAAAGCAGGCCCACATCACCACGGGACCTCTACTGTGCTTTAACGCAGGTTGGCTGTGTTTCACCCTCCAGTGTGTTTCATATTGCTGCTCTCTCCAGTCAATCAGAGCTGTAATTAGTCTAAATGAATCGAGCTGCAGTGCAGTTTTTCTGCAGATCAATTCTTCTGTTACATCACCCCTTTCTCGTGGTCTCGCCTCTCCCGCTAACTCAGCTCGGCTCATTTTTGTCAGTTTTTTTCTTCTTCTTTCCACCACCTACGGTCTTTTGGCAAACGGGGAATCGAACATTAGCTGACTTCTGAATTCGAGCCGTCTCCATTAGCGCTAATGATTTTGGCTCTGACTCGTCCTTACAGGAGGAACATCTACGGCGGCTGCGGTGCCAGGTCTTCTTGTTGATTATTTTTTTCTTCTTCTTGTTCTTCTTCTTGTTCTTCTGTTTTTAAGCTTCCAGATGGTGTTTGGAAGAAAACACTAAACGAGGATGTAAACCTCAGAAGGCTGTTATGTAAAAGCCTTACTCAAATATTAATGGAGGAGGGCGATGGGAGCAGGTAGATGCAGCAGCTCTTTTCTTCTGCCATTAGTCATCAGGATCAGGAGGGGGCTCCACAAAGGAGCAACGCTGCAGTTATATAAAAATGTCAATCATCAACCACTCGTTATTCTGTAAAAAAAAAGAAGAAAAAAACAACAAACCATCCCTTTAAAAATTATTTGTTTCCCGGTTTAATTAGCTGCTTCTTCATGAGATTACTTCCCTCTCCGCTGCCTGTGAAGGAGAAGCGGGATGAGGGAACAATCTCTGGCGAACAGTTGCTGCTTCGCTCATCTGAAGCAGCTGGAAATCCCACGGCGCCCCGGCTGCCAAGGTTCACACAGCCCCGCGCTCCGACAGGAAGTAACCCAGTTTCATAAGTGCGTTTCCGAGACTCGCCAGCGAATCTCGTTTTGACATCCAGCGAGCCGTCAAAAGGCTGACACTAGTCAAATGAGCCAGGCCTGCAGGATTGTAAAGACTCAGCCAAGCTTCAGATTTACTGAACATCCAACTTCTTCTCTACCAGTCGCACTATAAATAAGTCTGCTTTAGGTTTATTTTTTACCACTTTGGCTCCGGTAGATGAGTTATCAGCCGCAGGTGGGAGGTTGCCGTATTCAGAGGATGGAGGTCTTGTTAAAGCATTTCCTGAAAGCTTCAAAAGCTAAAAGCTCCTTAGGGACACAGCATTAGTGGGACATCGAGTGTTTGATGTGGATTTTTCTTGACTATATTTTTTGAAACAAATGACATCAGATTTCAGATTTTTTTATTTTGTTTTTGTACAGATTAATCCAAATATCATTGACTAGATTTTTCACAAATAAGTACTCAATGTTTTGAGTGGGCTCCTTTCTGAATAAATCGCTGCAATTTTGTGCAATAATAGACCTGGTTTAGCTATAAATAACTAATTCATTTCTTAAGACCTAAATTAATAACTTAGATAAGTTACAAAGTTGGGCCACCACCTTGAAAAATAATAACAAAATAATTAAGTCTGTTACGATCTGGTTATTAAATAACCCATAAACTGATATATCCTTCCTAAAGTAGTGGCCTAAGGCTTTTTTTTTAATTTACCTAAAATATGGTGATTTTTACTTATTTACTTATTTTTTGGGCTATTATTTTAGAAAGGTGGCCATATGTAATGTGAGAGTCCAGCATGAATATGTTTGCTTAAAGAACAAGGTTTGCATTAAAGAGTTTTGGAAATTAGGCTAAATTAGTTGTGAACTAATAAAAATGAATTTGGCTTGTCTCTAAGTAACCAGCTCACAATACAAAGACAGATTTTTTTTTTTTTTTGAGAAAGTAATGTTTTATTAATTTGCTGAATTCAAATTCATGAACCTTTTGGACAGATTGATTCTTAGTCTATTGATGCATCACTGCGGTGGGCAGCGTAATAATTTTGAAAACTAAGATGGCGGCTCAAATGGACACTCAGCTAGTTTTGCTGTTTTGAAGTATCGCGTTGTTAATAACAATATTATTTGAGCGCCAGAGATCCAATATGGTAGACTACACAAGCAAGAAAAATCTGTGCTGAAGTATTAGCTTAGTTAGCTTAGTTAACTTTTAGCTTTGTCACAAAAAGGGACATTTTAGCCCATTTTTAGGACTATTTTATAAAGCCTACTGTGAAGAAAGGGAACTAAAAAGCCCATAAGGCAGACAAGCTCATGTTACTGGACTGTCAGTGATTTAGCCAGTCATTAGAACGAAGTTTGAACAGTCTGAATTGGTGCTAGCTTCAGCTGCAGCATGCTCTAAGGCTTGTTCTGTCTGGGACAGTTTTAAGCATCATCAATGCAAAAAAAACTTTGTGAAATACACAATAAAACATTGAAATTGTTTATCCCTAAGCTTTGGTTAGGATCAGCAGAGCTTAGGATTCATCTCTGCCCAGTGACAACCTCTTACTTCGGTCCTCCCTGAGGCTAGCTTAGTGGCTAGTCCAGAGTGGACTAAACCAACACAAGTCTCAAAATACACTGCTCAAAAAAATAAAGGGAACACTCAAATAACACATCCTAGATCTGAATGAATGAAATATTCTCATTGAATACTTTGTTCTGTACAAAGTTGAATGTGCTGACAACAAAATCACACAAAAATCATCAATGGAAATCAAATGTATTAACCAATGGAGGCCTGGATTTGGAGCCACACACACAATTAAAGTGAAATGTTCCCTTTATTTTTTTGACCAGTATATGTCAGAGCGGTTTATGTGAATTACATTTTATGGACCATGAAGCTACAGTCATATTTTGCACAGAAGCCGGTCCTGTTTGTGTTCTGTGGTTTGAAAGCCCAATCTTATTTCCTGTCATTTTGAGTAGATAACTGAGTCGCTATTGTTGTATTGACCATGACAACGTCACGCTAGACCTTAGGCAGCTTGAATAAACCAACTCAAGCTACAGCGTATTTATGTGAATCACCCCAAACTCTAGAATTCTCTCAGTAGTTCATCCTTCCACTAAACTTTCCATTAATACAGCTTCGTCAGTAGTGATCTTTTGGAGTCAATCAGGAGTCTTCTTTATGATCTGCTTTTATGCAGTTACTGTCTGAGAAGCTGAATTATGAGATTTTGCTATGTGAGCTGACTGAAAACTCCAGAACTTGTTTATAACATCCTAATTTATGGAGACTCACCTCTGCATTCTGTCCTACCATATTCCCATATCTTCCTGAAATCCAGCCTGTTATGGGCTCTCTGCACTTTGGGGATTAGATTCGCTGCAGTTCTTTTCAAAAGTCATTCTTTTCCGTTTCCAGAGTCGGCCGCTGTTGGAGAATCGCTGATTAGCGAACCTTTTTAAGTCACGAAGTGTCTCATCTTGGAGATGATAAAAACCTCCTTCGCTGATGTGTCGCCTCCAACGCTGCCAGAGGAGCAGGGGACGGCCTGATTCAGACTTCTGGAGAGCCCTGAGCTCGCCGTCAGCCGTTTTATTTATTGACTTTCCCTCAGCTTTTAGTTCTCTGCAGACACATTTATTATACAGGAGGCTGAACTTTCTGCTGGCCTGATATTAAGAAACCTTTAATCCAGAGGAAAGGAAGGAGTTTATGAAGTTCAGCGGTGTGCTTACCTAGCAGTCGGGTTAAATCTCTGATGAGCAAACACTTCCGCTTCTCGCTTTGTGAGCTGGAAATAGGTTTCATTTGCCTCGTTTCTTCAGTTTTTCCTTCTAAACAGCCAGACTTTCTTGTAATCTGTTCCCTATAATCGTAGTTTTCAACTCCAAACAGTTTGTATTTTGTATCAATACATAACGGAACTGCATCTGAACCACTGGCAAAGAGTAACACTGCCAACTTCATGCCTCAATCAATCAAAAAAGGTAAGGAAATTGTCTTCCTGAGAGTTAGCAGAGCTGTCCACGCCTCGTTAGAGACCCTGAGCATCATGAACGACAGGACTGTTAGATGTTAGAAGGTGAAGTAACACTACAGTAAGTTTTTGTTGTGTCTTTTTGTTTTTTTTTTTTTATCTGCAGAGGCAGGATGGCCTGATGCAGCGCTCCATCCGAGAGGTGAACACGTCCAGCCGCTGGTGTGTCCTCTGGGACCTGGACGAAGACACACACTACAGCGTCCAGGTATCCCGACTCTTATGGCTAAAGAAGTAGAATTGTTCTGATGTGAGCAATGAAAAGCGATTTGAATTTAAATCCACTGTCACTGTTTGAATCTGTGTTGCTCTCTCAAACACTACGTCGTTTTCAGCCTGAGTAAAGCTGAAAGAGTCAGACCTACTTTTGGTCTCTCAGCAACCATCACAGCCTGAATAGGATGTGCAATTTGGAGTGGTTTGTCCTTCTCTTCTGCTGGGAAATGTCGGCCTGTTTGCGGCATGATATATTTTAGAAATTGTGGACTGTGTGCTGAAACCAATGAGCGGATTTTTTTGAATATATGCCTTCACAAGGCTTCCATTTTCATCGCTGAATATGTCGCCATGGCTTTTATTTCAAATCCATACATGTATATTTACCATTTAAAGGGGAGGAATTATGTAAAATATACTTTTTGGAGCTTTAAATCATGTTTAGTTATTCCCTCATCAAAAACAAACCTGGAGGGTTGCTTTGATTCTTTCATGCATGTTTGGCAAATCATTTCATCTCCCATGGCAACCATTAAGTTTTTGCAAATTCAATCATGGAGGTCCAAAGGTCATTTAATAGTGAGAGTCACTTTTGAGTGAGAGGATATTGTTGAAACTGAACAATATCCTCTTGTTATATAACCTCAGTGTATCCAAGCACCAAATCATCGGCTCAGATGGCGCATTTCAATACAGTTGTATAAATTGCAGCTGGTTACCATGGATATAATTTTTTTTAATATGTTGAAATAAATCACATTTCTTTTATCTTAAATTAAGGGTTTTTGTAACTTTAGAACTGATTTTACTTCTTCATGTTGTTCTGTAAAACTGGAATGTGTCACGAATTCCAGAAAACAAATATTTTTACTATTGATATAAAATTACATGCTGCGGTCAAATGACTTGCTTAAAACTCTTCGACTTGAGTTTCGCATGCCTCTACCATGTTTGGATCCAACTGGAAGATTTTAAATTAATTGTGAACTGCAAAACAATTACTTCTTTCAAGGCTAATAATGTGGGAAGGGGTTAAGCACATTTCTATCTATTAAGAGCAGATTAGACTGAATTACAAATATGAAAAATGTCCATCAACCTCCAAAACAAGATTTATGTGCTGTGATAGGTTCTTCAGTATTCGATCAACTTTTTATGCTTTTTATTAAAGTCGCTGTATTCCGTCGTTTAAATGATGATGGAAAACAGAAGCTTGTTTCAAGCATTTTTAAGCTAAATGCTTGAAACGATTATCTCTGAGGAGTTTTCACTGCAGAACATCTTAATAAGAGCACGCTTTAAAAACCATGAATATGAGTCTTTATTAGCTGATGAAGTGCTTTTCATTTTCCTAACTGACTCTAATTAACAGGGATTGTTGAATTAACTGTCTGTAGCGACTCTTCATTAGTTTTTAGAGCTGAAAGTTTAACTCGAGCTCGGAGCGTTTCCATCACGGCTCCATCATTGCTGGTTTTTAGCAGATCGGCGCAGTGACTCGGGCTGACCTTCAGCAGCAGGTTGAATGCTGTCAGCAGGTAGATGTGCTGCGGGGGGTCACAGAGCAGACACCTCGACACGTCTGGAGGGTTAAGAAAGGTGAAATTCCTAAGGGAATCGGACGAGGGAGCAGGAAGGTTTGGGTTCAGTCCAATGAGCATTTTCCTAAAATGCCTCCGTTGAAGCATGTAGGAGGACTCTTAAGTGTGAAGTTCTGTGCCTGAATGAATCATTTCTGCCTAAAACTCCTCTGAAAGTTTTGGGAAATGACAAAAGTACCCTCAAACGTCTTTTGGCAGTATTATGTAGAATCCATGTTTATCTAATCAATTACACACCTGTAGCAGGTATGTCAGATTCCTTGATTCTTTTATGCATGTTTGAGAAATCCTTGAATCTTCCATGGAAAACATTCAGCTGTTCAAAACATCTGGGTGGACTTAGCTCCGCCTCCCTCAGATGAAGCTCCTCCCTCAGAGATGCAGTTTCTAAGGCTCCACTTCTTCCCTCTCTCCTCCTTCAGACTAGCCAGCAGTAATTAGCAAATGCCTGGTAGAACTGCGCTCATTATACAAGCTACTTCCCAGTGAAACGTTGGTTTCATAGAGGATCCATGTTGTGATGACTTCCTGAGTTTCAAAAGCAGTCATGACTTAAAGAGACAGAGGCCCAAATTCAAGACATTAAATTACAAAGTCAAATTTCTTTACAATAATATTTGATATATACAGCATTTTTCTAACAACTGAAGGTAACAAGATTGTGCTACAAATTGGCACTGTGCAGCTGGAAACATAATACTGCCCCTTTAATGGATTATTTGGCCCAAAGTAAAGTCTAGCTCCAACAATGCACTCTCCCTCTTCCTCTGACTTCATGTCTACGCCCTCCAGCAATTGGAGGTCCTGGATCACAACCAAAGCCCCTCCTGAGCCAGCTTCTTGCATAACGCTCACCTCTGGTCCTGTTTGGCTGTCTGTCTGCTGAAAGGTTGTCCCTTCTCCGACCCCGCCTAGGTGCAGTCCGTCGGCCTGCATGGAGACAGCCAACCCAGCCGGGCCGTCCACTTCAGGACCCTGGAGAGAACCGACCACTATCCAGCCGGAGTCCTGGACCACCGTAAGTCCAGTTTATTTTGTGTATCTCATCTCATTAGCAGGGCAGTTCAAGTGATCAGTTATGCAACAAACAGTAAACATTACATTTTGTCACATGCTGCCATCAACAAATCAATCAAACATGCTGATCAATGTTTTAGCTACTACTAATCAAAGACTTTTTAGGATCAATGCTACTAAAGATAAAAACATGGATGAGTTTCTGTAGATGATGAGTCAAACTCGAGGCCCAGGGGCCAAATCTGGCCTGCTGTAGCTCCAGACTCCAAATTACATCAGTAAGTTTGTCGGTTTTTCAATGAATCTGCAAAATTCACAAAAAATTTTACTGCAAATTTTTCTCAAAACTGGCCAAAAATATTGGGTCTGACTGCTGCCTCCACCTCACTTGATGTCAAGTTGTAGTCTGTGACCAATACATCAATTAATAAAAAGTCACATTTAACATCCTATGTTAGTGCAAATATCGTAAAAAAAAAAATCCTTACAAATATTTCTAAAGTACCACAAAAAGTGTGATTTTGATTGCAAAAAACCCCAAAACAAAACACAAAAACAATCACAAAATCCTGGATGGATTGATCATTGTGAAAAAATGTTCGAATAAAATATTATTTAATTCTAAGAAACGCCTACTGAACGCTGAAACCAACAGCTATTTATTGATATTTTAACAGTTTAATGGGTTTTATCAATACATTGTGTCCTTTAAGAATGTTCAGATTTTTGATTTGACCCAAAATGAAAATGAGTTCGACGGCCCTGCTGTAGATCTTCGACATTAGTCGTTTAATCCTGGAAATGTTGGTTAGGTGATAGAAGGCTGATTTTGTGACTGTCTCTATGTGGCTCTGAAGGTTCAGGTCTAAAACTACATCCAGATTTTGGGCCTGATCTCCAGTTTCCAGCTGTAATAACTGACTGTAGATCATTCCTCTTTGAGTCCAAATATAAAAACTTCAGTTTTGCTTCTGTAAAGTTGGAGAGTTATGGCTCATCCACAAACCTGGCAGTCGGGAACGATGTTCTGTTGGGACAGTCATCTCCAGTGTGTGAAGTGTGACTCCCCGTCTCCACAGACGAACCAGCCATGGAGGGTCTGGGGATGACCCCTCACCTGCAGACCGGAGAGCTGCTCATCATCACCACCGTGCTGCTGCTGTGGGCCGGTGAGTCTGCAGGGATCTCTCTCGACCTTCGGGTCAGCGCGCATCCTCCGCCCGTTTTAACCTGCACTCTCTTCCAGCCGTCATCGCCCTCTTCTGCCGGCAGTACGACATCATCAAGGACAACGACTCCAATAGCACCAAGGAGAAGGCCAAGAGGCCGCTGGTGCAGGCCAGCTCCTCCTACTACAACGCCTCGGCAGGAAGCTCGCCCATCTACCACAATGGAGCCGTCCGCAGCAGCAGGGTGAGGCGCTGTGCACTCACTCTTCTTCTGGGTTTTTATTTTTTTACAGCAGAGATCCCAGAGGAAACTCGGGTTCCACATCTTAACTCTTATCTAAACTGCAGCTCCCCGTACTGGACATGTCAGAGTTAATGAAAAAAGACCAGTTTGAACTTTTATGCATTTGAAACAATCTGCTAAAACCTGCTCACTCATTAGATGTATTTTAAGCATTTGAAGCCTGTCGCAATAAATCACGTAAATTAAAACAAGTTTGATCATTTCCATTAGCATGTTTTTTTTTTCATGTGTCTTTCTTTCTTCCAAAACTTTAATAAAGAAAGTTTTCAGTTTGGTGCTTTGGTCTCATCTAGAGCAGCTTTGCTTAGAGACTTCATCATTAATTTTATTTGTTGTTTTGTTTATTTATTTTTGGATATTTAAAATCTCCTCCAGTTGCAGTGTTAAGTGTTTGTTAGAATTTAAAGTTTATTGATCTTTGAGAATGTGTTCTTGCAATATTTTACCATTATTTGACTTGAAAATGGTCTCAAAACAGCAATATTATCATTTATCACTATAACTTCTAAGACAATTTATCGTCCGATGTATTATCGTGACAGGCTAAATGAAGATTTATGCTATTATTTTATTGCAAAGGAATAATAAAGTGGATAACTTTCACAAGGTTGCTATATCAAAACAAAACATCGCCATCTTGACTTGAGTTAAGGTGGTTCAGACATCTGAAAAAAGCAAAGCAGCCAGCTGGTGGTGTGTGTCTCCAGTCTATAATTTGTTGCTTGGCAGCATATTTTTTGTGTTTATCGTCTTGTCATGTTTTTTTTGTTGTGTTTTTTTTCAGCTGCATCGAGCCTCGTCTTCCATCAGCATCATCAGAGTCTGATGTCGGGAGACTTTTCTTCTCAGGAGGAGCCTCAGTCGGATCAACGCAGCCGCTGTGAGGGATTTCTGGAACCTGCTGCTCCAAACCGTTGTAAAACACTGAGCGGGTTAGAGAGCGGGCCGGTGCTGCCCTCTGGTGGCAGATTGTTGTGACTCTTTCTTCCCTGTGGCGTCAGAGAGCAGTGTGAATGTTTTCCAGCTCGTCCGCCTCAGATTCCTCCAGTTCACCAGGACTGGTGCTGCCGTCGCTTTGTCAGTTAAAACAAGGACAATCTTTATGGATCAACTGAGTTCTTGTTTCATCATCAGTGATTAAACATTCAGCTTTCATCATGGTTTAAATATGTACAGACGTCAAAAAAGGTGTCTGTGATTAACTTTAAGTGTAATCTTTGCAGTGGTGGTGGTGAATTTACACTGTAAATATTTCAGGAATTGATCATTAAACTAAGTTCAGATTTTTTTGCATTAGGTAACTTTTCTTTCCCACTTGAGTTTTTCTGCGTTTATTTGACTAAAAGCGTCTAGTTTCACTGTACAAAGTCTACATATGAGACCATAGATACTAACTATGTAGCATTTTTACGAGGTAAAATTACAAATCACTCTTTTTGAGATCCAAATTGTACCGGGATTTATTCTATAAGACGAACAAACTGAATTAGTACATGTTGAATTTCATGTGCTGTAAGCCAGAACCGTTAAAATGACCAAAAATAAACAATTGAAATATATCACTTTGGGTGAAATAGATATACAGAACATGCAAGATCCAGATTTTTTAAGATGACTTTATAGCATAAAAAATACTTGTATATGAATGGCTTTTTCCACTCATTCTGTTTATGAATTTACAATTACATATTAGTTACTAAAGGTGGGAAGAAAGGAGTAAATTTCCACCAAAAACGCTGAAATTTTAAGAATAATCTCAGAAACTTTCTAGAAAAAATTCAGATATTTCAGTTTCAAAAGTTTAAATTTTTTGACTTTTGAAACTCAACGGTTTCTTTTTCTAGAAATGTTCTAAGACTTATCTCAAATTTTCTGAAATTTTTTTTCTAGCAAATGTTTGACTTTTCAAGCCCAGAAATGTTCTTGTTTTTTTTTTTGTTTGTTTGTTTGTTTGTTTTATAGAAAATTGCAGAATTCTTTTGGTGGAAATTGCTTTTTATATACGTTGTCGCGTAAATTCACTGAAAAATCAGATAAAAAAAAAAAACTGTCGGTGTTGCGCTTAGCCAGCAGAGGGCGACTGAGCCCCAAATACCGGGTTCGTTCTACACCATGTTTTTTGGACTGAATCTGTGGGGAAAGCTTTAAAAACATCACGATTTTTTGTCTAATTCTGGATTATTGTGATTTTGTATCATTATAAGCTAAAAGTATAAAACATTTACACCTTTCAGGTAAAGCGCTGCGGGTGTCCTGAAGCGAAGATGAGCTGTGGGATTATTTGTGGTTCATTGAAATGCGAGGAAATGTCACCATTCACCCTGTTTGCATCGTAGAGGTCAGAGTGCACAGGAAGAAGCTTCACCTGGAGCGCTCCCCGACCTTCTGAGGGAATTTTTTATTTTTTTTGCTGCCAAACAAAAGATGGAGGAGTGGTGGAATCCTCTGCGAGGTGTGAGGTAAAGATCAGAGGGAAATATCACGGCCTGCTCTGGGCTCAGAGGTGGTTTAAGGACAAGTTCTGGTAGAAAATACAAAGAAAAAGAAGAAGGGAAGTGCTTTTGACCGAGGATAAATCCTCTTCTGTCGTCTGAGTGCTTCTTCTTGCAGGTACTGAGGATTGGCTGGGAGTTAATGAGGTTTTAATCTGCTGTCTGTTGCAGAACCCTTCACGTTGACATTTAAAGTCGTCATTAAGCTCCGACTTTACTGGTTCTGTGTTCCAGGCACCATAATTCACACCATTCTGGTTCCTACAAAGTCTTAAAATTTGGAATTTGATTTGTAGTCAGGAAACAATTAGGATAGCTTATTAAATATTCTACTCTTGATTAAGAACTCGTTTATCACGGGAAGTTAGGACACCCTACCGTCTAATAGCTGCTTCCTGTAGTCCCAGGACTACAGGAAGTTCTCCATTTTTTTCACCAAACCTTGGTGGACTTACGGTGTGTTTTAGGTTGTTACATTTCAGGATCCAGGCTGCTGCAGCAGAGTACACCTCAAACCACGACACAGACCCCTCCGTACTTTTCCTATAATGTTACACTCTCTGTTCTCCATTTTGGTGCCCAAATAATTTAATTTTCAACTCACCCCAACATCCACGACATGCAAATGTTCTGAAAATTTTAGGTATATTGGTATTTGTCAGCAAATATAGCTTTGTAAAATTCAACATATTCCTTACAAAGTCAACCTATAAACCCTAAACCTTCAAGGAAGCCCTCTTAAATTATTGACCCACCAGTATTTTTGGACCTCAAAACTTTTAAGCATCCTTTAAATATCCGGAAATGGACAGAGAGCTTTGAAAATCAATTTCTTTAAAGGGGTGGTATTATGTGTTTTATTATTTTATAACACAATCAAGTAACTTACATTCAGTTGTCAAATATGACTTTAAAGAAATTTGACTTTATAATTCGACGTCTTGAAATTGGGTCTCTGTCTCTATAAGAAACTCCTGCTCTTTCTGAAACTCCGCCTTCAGGAAGTCATCACAACATGGCTCCTCTTTTAATCCTGTGACAACTTTTTACGAGCGTTGCACTGAAATGACGACGGAAGCTCCACCAGATGTTTGCTAATTGCTGTCTCAAGATGGCGCTAAGTTCCCGGAGGTGTCATGTAGTGCTGAATGGTTGCCACGGGTGATAAAGGATTTCTCAAAAATGCACGAAAGAATCCAGACAACACTCCAGGTATGCTTTTGATGAGTAAATAACATAACATTGATGTAAAGCTCAAAAAGGTAAAATTTTCATAATACGTATTATGTAGTGTCATAATACTTTTGTGCACCAAAAATATACCTGCCGTATATTGGTTATGATATGCTGCTTTTTTCTGGCTAAATCAACCTAAACTTTCCAAAGACGGACATATTTTTCCTGCGTATTCTGTATCACGTCTTGCCAAACCAGCGACATTTTGCGGAATGATAAACCAGATGGTGGAGTCGCTATCTCCACTATCCGTGTTTCTCAGATAAACGAAAATTAAAAATAATTTGGTGGGTTCTTTTTTTTTTTTTTTAAATAAATAATCCTTGTCCGCCCCCTGCACCTTTTTTTTTCTTCGAGTATGAGTGTTGCGCTCCGAGGTTGATTGACAGGTGTCCACAGAACTCCACCTAAAAGAGCTTCCTGTGTGGCCGCTGACGGGCACAAAGGCCATGAATGACCCAGGTAAATGTCAGGACACCTGGCAGAATGCCATTTTGTTCCACCGCGACGAGGTTCCAGAGTGGTCCGGAAAGGGCTGAACCATTATTCCCACCTAGAGAACTGAAATTTCTTTTCAGTTTTAGTCCAAGAAAATACCTTTGACAATAACACTGCTGTGTGACTGTCAAATTCTTAAAGACTTCAAATACAATCCGATTTAGTGACGTTTAATCAGGCGAACAAGAAACTAACACTGAGAAAACCCGCGAGACCGGTCTGCTCTCAGATCAATATTTGAACGCTTCTTTGCTTGGTAACGAGGTCGATAAGAGCTGTCAGTTAATTATCATCTTATTTACCATAATTATTGGCTGAAGGATGGAGAGCTTCCTATCTGTCTGTCTGTCTGTCTGTCTGGTCTCGGCACTTGTATTCACACTTCTAATTAAAGCCTGGCATTATTTACGGACAACTTGTTTGTGAAAACCATCAGAATGGTTATTAACTCCCACTTCTGCCTTTCTTATTACAGAAAGGCTCTCGAGTTCGTGGTCCTTGGAGAAACATTGGTTTGAAAAAGTCGTGAGATTAAACTGAACACTGAAAAAACGGCAAGCAGAAAATACTTCCCTTATAGCTTTAAGCATGAAAATGTACCATTTCCCCCCCCCCATTTAGCCAGGGTTACTCCGATACTCAATTAAAATCGAGTGTAACCAACTGGCATGAGAAATTATCTAACTAAAAAAATATTATTTTTATTTGCTAAAAAAAATAACATTTTTTAAAACCATGTCATGCATTCCCTCCTCATAATGCTGCCACCACCATGCCTTCGCTCTGTGGATTGCGCATTCATGATATTTTCCCAACAAAATAATGGATGACAATTAGCATCTGGAATTCCTTCCATACTAAAGAAGATATGAGTGAACAATCTTTCCGGCCTCCCCTCCTCCCTGCATTGTTTTATTCGTGAGCTAGCAGAAGCCCCGCTATAGCCATGAGGGGAATCCTCCAGGGGAAACCGAGGCACGTTAGCGGTTGTATGGCAGGCAGATTTGCCCCGTTATTCATGCTCGCTAATTGCTTCCCGGCGCTCCCAGCCTTTTCCCAGGAAGACGTCTCCACCGCAGATTGTAGCACGAGCAGTGGACGTAAAGCTGTCACTCAAACCTCAGTGTGACCTTTTCCTGGAGAAAAGGATGTTTTTCAGCCAGCCAATGAAACGAAGGTTAATGTGTGAGTGTGCTTCTCTGCCTGTGAGGACCGGGTCTAGAAAAAGATGTTTTGACTTGGTGCAACTTGACGCCATATTGAGCTAATAAAATAACCAAAGATTGGGATTTATTGCTGATGCTAAAGACTTTTTCTGATACTATATTTAAACTAGTGCTGTCAATTGATTGAATAGTCAATGAAATGACAGTAGTGTCCACTTCAAATTATTATTTTTTTGCAATGTTTACCTTTGGAGTTAAATTTTAAATCATTTAAAACAAGTGTTGTTATCCAGTATCTGTTTTTTTTCCTTCTCAGGCTGATTCCTTTTTGTCGATATCATGACACCAGCCTTCACCGATGTTCACAAAAACGGTACGAAGCACCACCAGGAGCCGGACGCCGTTAAGGCAGGTGTTTTATTTATGTTTCACCTATTTCACCTCGCTGTTTTAGTGGATAGAAACCAGATCCCCTTTTTCAAAAAGAAGTGCCTTCAGAGCATTTTTACATATATTTTTTTTATGTTATAAGTTTGACCGAACACACATTGGTTACTAATATTTGTTCTGCATAATGTCTTCGTTTATCACTCACAATGAGGTTTGTACAAAGACTTTAAATCAATTTCCATAAAAAAACCGTATGACAAAACTTAAAAATGTGGTTAAAAAGTCAAAAGGATTTGATCTGCAGTGGAAAATATTTATCACCAAAATGTTCCGACTTGTTGCAAAAATGTCCCATGATGACATAAATGAATACATATTGCGTGATTTATAAAGTTAAGTGCAAATTTAAAGCAAAAAAAAAAAAAACACCCTCATCTTTAATTGAATTTTCTCAATTAGGTATTATTGGATCATGGTTTTCTAAGGTGTTGAAGATATAAAATGAACTCCTATGTGTGCAATTTTATGTTATTTCCACATATAAAAGACTTTTTTTATTCTTGAATTGAGACGCTTTTTAAAATTATCCTTTTAATTCTTAAAATATCCTTAAAATTAGCAGGTAAAATATCAGAGACAGAAAATTCAAAGTACAATACGTTTTATAAATGTCATTTATGTAACAAATGTTTAAATACAAACAATTTATAGACTTTGTGCGCTTTGAGAGACAATAAAATCATAGTGAAGGCACATGGCATACATTCATCACAGCAT